TTGGAGCTTCTCTCCAACTGGATTCCTCTACTCCGAGGGATCCAGATAAACACCCTACCCTTCACACTGCAGTGGGCAGTGAAGGGCCGATAACTTCACCCCCAGGGAGCAGGTGGACTCCAGGTTTTGGGGTCCAAAGTGAATTTCATAACCTGGAGCTAGAACCCCCCTGAGATACCAGCCAGTCTTATCCCTTCTTCTGATCCCCTTCAGATGGGGAAGCTGAAGTCAAGAGGGAAGAGATGTGGCCTGAACTCACACATCGCTTCAGAGGCAGCACCAGGAGCAGGGGTGCCCAGGGTCCCAGGCATGATGTCACACAAGCCCTGTTATCTCCACCCTCACGACTACCACTCTGCTCGGCTTGATGAAGTGTAAGACTTTGGGACGACTTGAGTTTGCTACTCAGCCCTGCCTATGCACTGTCAAGAGCATGACCTTCAACCTCCCTGAATCTCAAATTTCTCATTTAAAAGTTGGGGCTACCCACAATCTCCCTGACCTGGTGATAGCKAGGCTTAAATATGACTGAATTCAAAGAGATGGGGTGCTATGCCTGGCCCGGGTAAGCCTTTTCCAAATGCCATTTGGCCCTCTACTTAGGAGTGGTCATTGTGTAGTGGCCAAGGGCATGGGTTTGGGTAACATGGCCCTGAGTTCAAGTTCAGGCTCTGTCACAAACAGCAGAGAAACCTTGGATGAATTATTCACCAAGGGCTCAATTTCCTTATCTGTAAAAAATTTTCTCATCTGTAAAAAGGATGAAAGTGGCACCCAGAGGTCAAATGAGACATGTGACATGGTTAGCATAGTTCCTGACCTGTTGCCAGAAGGGTCAGTTGTTATTTTATCAGTTGGTTTCCTCTGAAGAGCTTTGTCAGATGCTTATGGAAATAGTAAGGAAGTCTTGGCTATGTACTCAGGCTGCCCCCTGCAGGGAGTTTTCTATAAATCAAACCACTGGACATGCTGGGGGTTCTGCCAGCTTCCTCCTTCCCTTCAGGAACAACCGTGCTCCTGGATGGGTGGGCTGCCATACCTGCAGTTCCCGTACCCCCAAGTCTGCTATGGAGTGATGTTTTGTATACATATTAAAAAAAATTAGTGCAGTTATTTCATCAGAAGGACAAATTGCTTGGGTAAGGTGGATGGTTTGTCCCAATCCAGGTCTTGTGTATTAGGGAGGCAGGCATACTGCTTTTGTACGGCAATAGGCRCTTTGGAAAACGAGAAGGCTGTTGGTCCTGGCCCTACCAGCACTTCTCAACGACTGGGGAAAGCTTTCACCTCTTTCCATGTGTTTGCTTGGCTTCCCTCGTGAGTCCCGCGTCCCACTCCATGCTCCCAGGGGCAGAGGGCTGATGCCTGCACTATTAGATTGTGGTTGCTCTGTCACACARACATCAAAGGAACACATATGAGACTCCACTGTCACCGTTAATTGACCTGGAAAGCCAGTGTATTTGTCCCAACTCCAAGTGAGTTACAACTCAAACCAAAAGAGCAATTTGCTTAGTGGGTTCCCGGGGAGCTTGGGGGTGGTGCAGATTTAAGGGAACCTCGATCCAGGAATGCAAACAGAGTTGTCACTGCTTTCCATGCGCTACTACTTCCTTCCTCTGTTTAGTCTCCCAGTCTGTGGCAAGGAAGGCCAGGAAGCTCTTGACTGAGTCGGGCTGATAGCYGGAGACTCAGGTGAGAGAGGCCCGCCTCTCTCTCAGCAATGGCCTAGAAGGGGCACTCACAGCCTGGGCACAACTCCTGATAGGACTATTAGGGTGATGCTGAGCACCCAAATGCATACCTCCCCCGTGGAAGCAATGGTAGGTGAGAGTCTTGGCCTCTGCAGGAGTGCATCACTCATGAGTAAGTGCCATAATTTCTGTCTTGCAAATCTAATTTCAGCCAGTATGTTAGTTTGCTAGAGTGGCTAGAACGGAGCACCACAGACTGCATGGCTCCAACAACAGGAGTTAATTTTCTGTCAGTTGTGGAAGCTGGAAGTCTAAGACCAAAGTGCTGGCAGCACTGGTTTCCTGGGAAGCTCTCTCCTTGACTTCTAGCTGGTTATCACTCCCCATGCTTGTATGCCTTGGCCCCAGTGTGTCCTGATCTCTGTGTCTCTGACCACAGGCARATCAGATCAGAGCCCACTCTATGCCTCATTTTAATTTGATCACCTCTTTAAAATCCCTGTCTCGGGCCTGGGGGTTGTGGCTCAGTGGTAGAGCACTTGCTTAGCACATGTGAGGCACTGGGTTCAATCCTCACATCATATAAAAATAAATTAAATAAAGGTATTGTGTCCATCTACAACTAAAAAAAAAAAAAATAAAAAAATAAAAGCCCTGTCTCCAAATATAGTCAGTCACATTCTCAGGGGCTGAGGGCTTCGACTTTGACATGCAAAGATGGAGGCAGGGGCAGGAACAATTCTGCTTAAATTGTCAAGGCTAAAATTTGCCAGGGAGGCTGGTGTTGGCAGGGTGTCCATATCTGTGGAGCTATAATATCCACAAGGAGGCAAAGGCCTTACAACCCAGAGCAGCAGGGGATATAGGAACTGCATTCAATGAAAACCTAAGCAAGGTCCAGGGACCTTGTACCTGTGTACACGGTGCCCCAGGAACCAGCAATGGTACGTGAGAGTCTTGGCCTTGGTGATGGATCACGTTTGATTGTCAAAGAGTCTTGTGCTTTCCTCTCTCTGCAGCATTGCCAGCTCCCCAGAGACCAGGTTTCCTGAGGACTCTGAGGGCGTAAAGTCACCTTCTCCCCACTCACTTCCATCAACCGGAACAGTGGCTCCCTGGGTGTGGGTGAAGATGTGAGCTGACTTCAGTGTTACACAGGCCAGTGTCTTTGGAGAATTAGAAAATGTATCTGAATGTATAACCAGTCCTACAAATAGATAGTTTCACTGATATTAAAATAGAAACAGATGGATCCACTGAAGGAAAAATATTCCTTAGATATCACTGAGTAACTAAATAATTTGAAAGGTGTCAGTGCTTCCTGACAAGGACACACTTCAGGCCATTAGCATAGGTGTCACATTACTTTTTAACCTGCTTTATCTGCACATGTGGTCTCAATTAGCCCTAAAGACAAAGCAAGGGTGGTGGCTACTGGCCTTTGGTGTCCCTTCTCTGTGCCCCTGTGCCAGCACATTGGACCAGGCCAGGGAAAGAGGCAGGAGTGTTCCTGGCAGGTAGCAGGAAGCTGGCCCCATCTCACATCTGTGGGTTTTGTCTATTTGGAGTCCCACTCCAGGGCTTCTGAATGGCTGGGCAGAGGCTCAGAGCTGCATATGTAAGCAAGGTATTCATCACTGCGTGGTCAGATTTTTAGTGCTGAAGAGCTCTACACTTAAGGGCATTAGTGAAGTTGGCATGATTCTGTGTGTTAATTATTAATTTTAGCTGTGCTTTTTCTCCTCTTGAGTTTTGCTATCAGTGCTGAATAGCAGCCCTTCTGTATTCCATGTGGCTCTGCTCAGGGGCCAGCTGCAGTCACTGACACCTTCCATAGCTGGTGCCCATGGCTCTGGGCATGGCACCTGGTGAAGGCGAGGGGCTCCCAGGGCAGCAGAGCTGCCCTTCATCCATACCAACTCCAGCGCTCAGCTGGCCCATTGCATCGGCTTTAAACTCTAACCTTGTGTGATGCAGGTGACCCCCAAAGTTGAGTTCTGCCTTATTCATGTAAGATTGCCCTCCAGTGTCCAAAGGGATTACKTGCAGGGGAAAAAGTCCCTCTTGGAAAACTTCAGGAAGTCCGATTCAAAAAGGTTGTTTCTGTCTGTAAAAGGTAGACGATTTGGGGAGCACTTCTGAAATTTCACTATTGGTGTGTCTTGGGGAACTTATTAAAAGTCAGCTGCTGATGGAGGAGGTCAGGGTGGGGCCCCAGATTCTGCATTTCTGGCAAGCTACAGGGTGATGTTGATGTTTCTGGCTAGACTTCACTTTGAGTGGCAAGGCTTATAGCAGTTCTTTCTACATCCAGCATGTTAATAACCACAGTGCAAGCCAGACCATCGCTACCAAACCTGAATGAATGAGAGAAGTCCCTGTAGACCTCCCTCGTATTCTGACGCCCACCTGCCTCCTCACCTCTTTTAACCCGATGTTCCTCTTCACTGGCTCTACTCCATGCTCCCCAGAATTTTTAGTTGGTCATTCCTTTCAGTCTGCCTCCTTTTCCCCTTGTCACTATCAAGGATGAATTGCTCATTTCCCAGCCTTTATTGCAATAATGGTTGGACATACTCCCTATTTCTGGTCAGCAGAACTTGAACAGAAGTGTACTGAGGGCTTCTGGGAAAGTTTTTCTGATTAAACTAGACATGCAAGGGGAAATTCCTTTCCTGTCTCTTGATGTGGTTGTATGACGATATGATGCCTGGAGGCACAGCAGCCTCTTGTAAACATGAGGGGACACATTGGCAGAGAACTAAAGTCAAAATACTGTGGGTAGTGAAGTAAAGAGGTGTAAGGAACATGGGCTCTGGACAGCATCACTGAGATGATGAATTTACTAACCTTGTTCTCATCGTTTAAGCCACTTTTAATAAGGTGAATTTTACTTGCAATGGAAGGGGTCTTGCCAGATAAGAATGAGAAGCTGGTCTTTCCAGCCAGACCATCTGGGATTGACTTCTGGCTCTACTGGTGGTAATCATGTGTCTTCTTCTAAGCTGTTTTTCATCTGTGAGATGGGTTAATTAATTATGGCCACCTCTTGAGTTGTTACAGAGGCTTTAGTGAGATGATGTAGAAGGTCCTCAGCATAGACCTGGACATGTTGTTGGTGCTTAATACTTAATTACTTTTTTTTTCTTAATTACTTTTGATAGCAGAAGCTTATTTGTGGTTGGAGCAACCTCTGCTAACTTGAAGTATCCTGCATTTTGCAGAAAACAATCTGGATACCGTTGATCTCATCAAATATTCCCATTTTACAGAAGAGAAACCAAGGCCAAACAAGTGACTGCTCTTTAGGTTTATTTATTTTGAAAAAAAATGTGCATGGTTTAGCCTTTTCCCATGTCAGTCATTTCCACTCACGCTGGAAACCAGAACACGGGTCTGGGTTGCAATGATGTGCTTTTATGGGAAACAAAAATTCAACAACGATAACAAAAGCCCTTCAGTCTCGCAAGTTGTTAACCAGTGATAATGAGGCAGTTTCAATGATTGTGTCTGGCTGGGGACATTTCTCACGGGTCAGGAACGTTGAAAGATGTTGGCCAAGAAGAGAAGTTGCAGGGAGATTTGACATCTTAAACCAGAGTACATTCGACTTCCCTTCTGGTCTCTCCACCCTATTACCCTTTTAACTCGCAGTTTACAGAGATCCTTCCAGATTTCACTCAGATGCAGTCTCTTCCAGAAACTTCTCCTTGGTMTGCACCAACTTTATCTGGCTCTTCAGTAATGTCACACTTTCTCAAGCCTTCTCTCACTTTCTGCCTTATCTTCCTTATGTTTGGGTGCACGTCTCATGTTGCCCACTCTTATTAGGCATGCCTCTGAGATGGGGCCCGCATTGACTCATCCCAGCACCCCCCTCCCCCATTCAGTGCTCGGTATTCAGCAGGTACTCAGTGAGGGTTGTTGGATGGACTTTAGTTTGACATTTGCCTCATTGCATTACCAGCCACTTGAGAGTCACAGTTGTCATCTCCACTTCTTCATCCTTCCTCCATGATCTCAAGATGGTCTGAAACAACATATCTCCAAGAAGGAATAGTGCCCATCCCCCAAACATGGCCAATTCAGGGTTGAAAGTTTGGAAAGAGGATGAGAAAAGGTTAAGCTTTCACCCCTGTTCCAGAGACAGGAAAGGCAGCCACTGGGACAATCTGGATGACCGTGAGCAGTGTTGGCCAACACCTCATTTTGGAATCTTGTAAGAAGTCATGCTCTGGAAGTTTCCTCCATGAAACCTGGCCAACTTTGCAGTGGGACCTGGGATTGGTGTGGGGGTCTAATGTCGTTGCCCAGTGGCCCAGGCCAAGAGCCTTTCTCTGGGGTGTGGCCTATTCTCCCTGTAGAGGGTGGTGAGAGCTGTCTCTCTGGTTGCTGGGTTGGAGCTGTGGGGGGAATGTTAGCCCTGTGGTATGTAGGTCATCAGGCACATAGATTGTAATAAGGCTGAAGAATACAGGCTGCAACAACGGGCCTCTCCTAGGAAGGGGGAAGCGTCAGGAGGTGCTGGGAGCAGTGAGGGAGAGAGGAGGGTCAGAGGTCCCACAGCTTGGATTTGGCAGGTGCCTGGCTCCATCTCCTGTTCCCAGCTCCCGCTCCTCTCCTCTGTTCCTCCAAGTCCAGGCCAGGCAAAGAGGCCAGTTGGAGGTGGTGGAGGGAAGGGAGCACCTTTTTTCTTTTTCAACCTTTGAATCCTAGATTTGGACAAGGGAGTGATGAGGMTTAAGGGCAGAGGAGGAGGGTGGGTGAGCTGAGGAGAGGCCAGGGCCCTGTCCACTTCTGTCCACAGGTGTAACGAGTGGATCTGGGGCTCACACTTTTAACTGCACCACCCTGAGAGCAAAGAGCTCCAAATTGGAGGTGTGGAGAAAATTTTTCACGAGACCTTGAAGGTGCTCGATGATTTGGGGAGATCACTGTGGATCCTCCCACAGAAGGGCCCCTAAGGGGCCAAGGGTGTGTGAGAACTGCAAGGTCAAAATGAGCCCTGGAGACTCGGGAGAGGGCCAAGAAGCAGAGAGCAGAGAGACTCCTTCAGGCACCTTTTGAACAGAGTTGGACCTTGGGGGACTCACTTTGGGACAGATGTTTCAGTATAAAAAGGATCCCCAGCAAAAGAACGGGGTCCCCTCAAATCCCTTCCCGGATCCCACAGCACTTAGAAAAGAGAAGTAAGGAGCATAAAAATACCTTAATGATGTGGCTTGCCTGACAGTACAGAAAAGCAAGTCTCACAGAGGCAGCGTGTCCCATCACACAGGGGGATGACACCGCGCTTCAGGATAGAGATTTTACATAATCTTTATATAAATGCATCTATATGTATAGAGCCTCTGCCTAGAAGAGCCGGGCTTGCTTCTTGAGTTCGTTCCTCTTCCAGAGGGCTAGCCGCTCGAACTCTGAGATGGTCATGCCAAAGACTTGGTAGAACTCTTCTTGGGACAGGTGGCGCTGGAGGAGGAGGAAAGGAGGGAGAGAAAACGGCATGAGGACAGGAGGTGTGGGCTGCGGGTGGGTGGGCATGGCAGTGGTCTCTGCGTTTCCTCTGAGTGCCCTCTGCCTGGCACTAGGTTCCATCCGGGAGTGTGCAAGAACTGTGTTGAGCGGAGGAATGTGGAAATGAATGTTTCCCTGGAGGGGCTTCTGGAGCTGACCTTGACAGTGGCTTGTTTGAATAAGGACGTGAGTGGTGTCCATATGTGGCTTTTTGTGGGTAGGTCCCTTCAGTGTCCCTCCTCTTTCTTTCACGGTCTTGATTTGTCTGTCCTGTTTTACTCTAGTGAAGGCTGAAAAATAGTTTGTATATGAGGAAGTTTTCTTCTCTGTTTCTTCCATAGTAAAGACTCAGGGAAATGGTAATTCAGCCTCATTTATTCTTTTTCCTTTGGAGGGTGGTGACTGCTACTGATTCTCTAATTGATATTCTCTACTGTGTTCAAAAATTTTTTTTTATGAGACACAATATAAAGGAATGGTAGCCTTGTCCCCAAGTAAACTGTCCGTAAGTAGGACACACTGAAAGGAGACAAAGCCTTCTCTTTCCATCACTAAGGTCCAACTGGAGTCTTCCCCTTCCCTTGAGTCCTCAGAGCCCCTAACAGCCCTGTGCATGTGACATTCACCACAGACTTTAAGGCAAAAACATTTAGAGCATGGCTTTTAAAGCCAGGCGGACATAGGTGTGTGACCTTGGACCTGAGCCTCAATTCCTCCTCTGGAAAACGGGAGCATCATAGCACCTACCTCATTGGTACCACCAGGGTAAATGAGAGGACATAGGTATGTGCTCAGCACAGGGCCACCACATGGGAAGTGTTCCATCATGGCTCACCCTCACTACCGCAAATACCCATCACATAGAGCAATCTGGTCCCCGTTTCCTTTGATTTCATCTCTGCTTCATCTTCTCTTCTGTGCTCATGTGACCCCAGCCACACTCACCTCTTGAGTATATTCAAACAGGCCAGCCTTGCTCCTGCATTAGCCTTGGTACTGAATGTTCCCTCTGCTCAGAATGCTCTTCTGTCTCATGAGAGCCTGGCTAATTCCCTCCCCTACTTTGAGTCCTTGTTCAAATGTTACGTGGTCCATGAGATCTCCCCTGATTTCCTTTTACCTTCTTCCTTAGCCCTTACGGACTTCTTTCTAATGCTCTACAGAATTTATTGTTTGTGTTCTTTAGTATCTGTCTTCTCACATAAGAATGCAAGCTCCAAGAATGCAGTCTGTTTTGCTCACCAATATATTGCAAGCACCTAGAATGATATTTGGTGTCTATACTAGATTTTTCATATTTTTTGGATGTATGAGTATTTGTACTCTGGGTCCCTTGAGGACAGAGTCAGGGATTTCCTTCTATAGGCTGCTCCCTGAACTGGGGCAAGAGCTGAGGCAGTGTTTCTAGCCCAGTGATTTCAAGTCTACATTCCTTGAAGCTTTTAAAAAATACCGATGCCTGAGTTCCTTCCTGAGATTGAAGTTTCATCGGTCTAGGGTGGGGACCATGGATTGATTTTGATGCTCAAGAAAGACTGAGCTTCTCGGGGCCCAGGCTTCTGGGGAGCTGCGATGTTGCGTCCCTTCCTTCTGGCTTCACTGAGTAGCCCTGGGAGCTGTCCCCTTCAGCACTGGCAGATGCTCACTTCTGGAGAGGAAGGAGGAGACCCATGGGGAGAATCTCTACTGTTCTCAGGCTGCTGACCCAGCCGGCTAGAGCTGGAAGGGCCCACTTGCATTCCCCTCCTCTGCCTCTAGCCTGGGTGAATTCCTGAGCATATATACTCTTCTGGAAGAGCTTGAGCCTCTTCTTTTAGAAGCCCGCCTCCATTCCACAACCATTTCCTGACATCTCTCCCAACCCCAGGTCCTGTGGTAGAAGACGGACAATCTTTGCCCCTTGGAAGATCAGGGTCAGGCAGAGGAAATGGGTAAGTCGATGATGTAATAAAAGGAGAATGAGAAGTACTGAGTCCACCCCTGGCCACAGGCTAAGGGAGGCTGGAGGAACAGCTGAGTGACCCACCCTGCGGGAGGACTACAGGAGGGCATGGGGTACTGAGATCACAAGTGTGGAGCCCTGAGGAGCGAGAAGGTTCACAGCCTGGGAAGGTCACTCTAGGGAGAGGGAAGAAGAGGGAGAGACAGGGAGAAGCATGCCCCATACCATAGGTGGCCAGCGTGGCACTCGATGTGGCACTCCACATCAAGCGAACTGCACTGCTTGAATACCCGACACCATGCCCAGGCCACAGTGACTGTGCCTTTATCTATACAGATGCTACTCCTCATGGTGCTTCCTTCCCTCTCTCCATCCAAACCCTACCCACCTTCCAAGTCCATCCAAATCTTCCCTGTTTCAGCCTGTGTCTCACAAACTAGTCCTCTCTGAATAGCAGCAAACTAACCTCTACCAGGTACTGAATATTCATTTGGTCATCAGACTCTGTGCTGAGGGCTTGGTGTGTATTGTTTATTAATCATTTATTTCTCTCTCTTCCTCACTGTGCAAGGAGAAAACTAAAGTTTAATGAGATTGTGGCTTGGCTACACCTGCCCACCTAGTGATGGCAGGAGCAGTGTGGACCCCGGGGGGTTTCACTCTGGACTTATTTATGCAGTGCCACCTCCCTGACTTTCCCCATCACAAGCACTAGCTTTATGTACAGCTCTGAGACTGCAGGCCCCTTGAGGGCGGGGCCCAAATCTATCTCTTGTCCTGTGTCTAGTGTTTGCAGAATGTCAGCACTGGGTGAGGACATGCTGCTGCCGAGCATCTGAGGTGTCATTTGTGCTGAAGAGGAGGCTGCACACAGCAGCATGGAACAGCCTTGGACGGAGGAAACTGCTCCAATCTATGGGGCCTTAAAGTCATGTATTGTCTGTTCCCTATCCTGAACTGGATTGGACCAGACAACTTTGGATCCCTTCAAACTCAAAGGCTCCTGTTCAGTTTACTGGACTTACCTCCAAGCGTGTCCGGTCCACATCCTTGGGCAGTCGGTTTCTCCCTCTTGTGGTCACCAGCAGCAGTTCATAGGGATAGATCTAAGGAGAAAGGTAGGAGGTGTTTCCAGCTTGGGGGAGGGGGGTGGGCCTGTCTCTTTTAGCAACAATTTGTGTCTGGGCTCCTTCCTCTAGCCAGAAAGGGTCAGTGATTAAGTCTGGAGGAAGGGCTGGGCTTGCCCTTCTTTGAGTTGCCTGTCAATCTTAAGGTATCTTCTCCCAAAATGTAAATCCTCACAGCATCCCCTAAAACTGCTAGGGAAAAGCTTGGTGGCATTTGGCATTAATGTGGGCAAAGAGTCTCCTAAATTTAAGTCTAATATTTGGTGGCCTGGTAATCCACCAGTCTTTGAGGACCAGGGAAATAGTCTAATCAGTTGTCAGAAGACCTAGGGCAGGATCCAGGGATGGTGGGCCAAGGAAGGACAGGGAATGTTAGTCTCAAAATGACCCAGGGGTGATTCATCTATGTTCCCTTCCCTGAATAGAGACAGTGCTGTCATCCTCTTGCTGGTCCCCAAGGTACTGGCTCCAAGCATCAGGAGACCCCCAGGGTCTATGTGTCCTTTACCTTGTACTCTGCAGAGAGAAAAGACATGCACAGAAAAGACATGCTTTGCATTACCACAGTGGCCTCTGCCTCAGTCTCCTGGGAGGTCTGGCCTCCACACATGCCTTGCTCGTGACCATCCAGAGACTCTGTCCTTGCTGAATTCATCATGGAGGATAGTCAGGTCTAGTATGACCATGGAAGGTGGCTGGAGATAGGGCTGAGCTCATTTTGTGTTGGTTTTAAGGGAAAAAGAGCTTTTGAGATATTTAGAATAGAAATAAGAAGAATGTGAGACTGGGAAGCATGTGGGAGGGATCTTCCCCTTTCTGGGGGAATCCTCCAAGGTTTTGATGTGCCTGCTCAGAGCTGCTGGTGGAGGCTGGTGTGGGAGCTTCCCTGACAAAGGGCGTGAAGCTCATGGAATTTTTTTTCCTAGGAACCATGTGTATTTGGCTCTGAGTGTTTCCCTCCACCAGGGCTTGCAGGCTGCTTTAGCTCAGCAGTACAGGGAGATCAGCATTCTGTGATGGCTCTGGGAACCCAGATGGGACAGATGGCCTGGAGATCACCCAAGGCCAGGGAACTGGGAGGATGAGGGAAGCGTAGGGCAAAGGAGGGAGTGGAAGTGGAAGGGAGTGGGAACTTGGGGTTTGGACAGAGCCCAGCATGGGGACAGAATCTGTAGGAATTGTTTGCCAAAGGTCAAGCAGCAGCTATGAGCAGTGCATCCGGAGTCCCTGGGAAGTCCCAGGAGGGACCTCCTCCTGCAACCCCAGTGAACGTGCTTACCTCGCATGCCCCAGTTGACCGCGTTCATGCTGTCGTAGTGGAAGAGGTCTGCGCTGGGTGTCTGCAGGASAGACAAAGCCAGGGCTGGCCTGAGCCTCCTGGAAGCACTCGCCCATCTCAGGACATGCACCAGGGAGGGGGTGGGGCACGGGGCCATCTCAGCAGTCCCCATCTCCAGTCAAGGGAACTGAGCTTGCTGCCAGCTTCTGGTGCCTATTCCTAGCACACAGTAGGCACTGAATATATACTCAATATATTCATTTGGTGAATTTTATCTTGTGCTTTCTTTCATTGGTCTATGAGGTCTTTCCTTACAACCCTATTGAGAATTCCAAGTTGCCCCCTTGATAAACTCTCAATCTTATTCTGCTCCTCTCTTTTACTTTTTGTGGTGCCCATGATTGAACCCAGTGCCTTGTGCATGCGAGGCAAGCACTCTACCAACTGAGCTATATCCCTAGCCCCTCATCTTTTTTTTTTAAAAAATAGCACTGTCTTCTAATATTTTATATGATCCGACTTGTTTCCTATTTACTTCCTACTTTCTGTTGTCCCTAGAAGAATATAAGCTCCAAGGGGCAGAAGTCTTTGTTCTGCTGTGTTCCAAGCACCCTGAATTATACCTGGTGCATAGAAGAGGCTTTCAATAAACCTCTGCTGAATGAAGGAGTGTCTAGCCTCCGGTGTGTGGAGGACAGCGTGTGCAGCAGGCAGGGGTTCTCAACACCAGCCACTGCTCTGTAGCAGTGCTGTCGTCATTTTTGTGTGCTCTACCCCACAACAGTCTCCTAGTGGATCTAGTGTTTCCATTTCTGCCCTCTGTAGTCTCCATTCCACACATTGGGCAGAGGGATCCTTTGGATCTCAGTACATCCACTGAACTCTGAAGTCCTTACTTGGTGTACAAGGCCCTAATGAGGTTCCTGCCTGGCTTCACCGCCTTATTCCTTCCATCCTGGTCACATGGTTCAGGACCACTTTGCCATCCCTACCAAGGACTTAGACGTTGTACTTCCCTGCATCTGGATGGCTCTTGCAGGTCACCAGGTGATGAGGTTTCTCTCTCCACACTCAAGCCTTTGTCTGAATTCACCTCCTCTCTGACTTCCCTTCTTTATTCCCTGGCTCTGTTTTCCACTCTAGTACTTCCAACAACCTGATATCATGTCACACATTTTCTTGTTCATTGTTTATCTACCAACTAGAATATGAGCTCCATAGGAGCAGCAGCTGCTTTCACTGCAGGATCTCCAGTACCTGAAACAGTGCCCGAGACTTAGTGGGTGCTCAATAATTCAACCTCTATCCCAATGTTCCTGTCCTTGGCTCCTGTAACTTGTTCAGTTTCACAGCCTCCAGATCCATCTTATTGCTAACAAGACAAGTTTTTATTCCCTTGCAGACTTTAAGCCAGTTCACTACTTCCATGGAGTTTTTATGTCACAGGCTCTAGAGCTCATGTAACTCAGAAGACTACATGCTATGTTGGGGCACAGCAGTCAGGTATGGGTTGCAGATTCAGTTGGTCTGGCTCCATGACTGCTGGGTGTGAGCTTGGGCCAGTCACCTCAGCCCTCTGCCTCCATTCCTGCATCCACAAAATATAGTCAATACTAGTAACCCCCTTCTCTGGGCTGTGAAGGTCACATGAATAGGTGCTGGTAAAGTTCAGTGTCCAGCACGGGATTCTTGCTCAATAAGTACAAGTTTTCCCTGGTCTCTCCATGAGAGCCTCCTTTCACACAGGGGTCATAATTGAGGTACGCAACTCTTTGCCATCGGGTCCCTTCACTGGGTTCACTTCTAGCCCCAAGATTTTCCCTCCAGTCTTACTCAAAAGCAGCTGCCAGAATAATGGCCTGGTGTTGGGATCTGGGGGTGGTCCCATGCCCCAGCAGAGCCCCTCTTACCCTGTGCAGTCCATTTCTCCTGTAGGCAGGCAGAGAGGCAGATTTGGAGATAAGAGGATCTGAAAAGAAGGATCCAGAACAATTACCAGGAGCTCTAAACTAGGGGTCACCACTCTCCTTGGAGGCATTTGGTTATAAATGGCCAGTATTACCCATAACCTAGTGGGAAGGGGTAGAGCCAGAGGCCTCCATTCTTCCTGATGCTCTCCAGACCTGCAACTTGACCCCTTCCCTGCAGAATTCTAGGCCCACCAGAGACACCTACTCACACCCATTTCTGGCCTTAACCTATACACATCTATCCTATGATGAACCCATCTGTCCAGTCCACAGGTAGCTCTGGTCAAAGGTCTGGAAATTGGAGTTGAGCTCAGAAGCAGAGAGGATGGCTCCCAGGTGGGTGGAAGAGGTGTTCTTTCTTCCTCTTTGGAAGCTGTTGGGCATGGCAGCCTTGGTTCTAGAACCCCAAGTGGAGCCTTGCTATCTCACAACTATGGTGGGGTCAGCTCTTTGAGATCTGGACTGTGCCAAGACATCTACACTGTACAGCCAGCAGAGATCTGGGAGACTGCAGCCACCTTGACAGTACCCTCACAGGATACCACGAATGAAAGCAGGGCAGGTAGGACATACCACTGTCAGCCAGGTAGTGTGAACGAGGAGCTGCAAGAAAGGAAAGCTGGAGGTCAGGGTTCATGGGGACAGACAGACATGACAGAGATAGTTCCTGGGGACAAGGACACAGGCTTCTGTACTTAGCCACCTGGCTGGTGGAGAGGAGGGGCCTTCTTAGCAACTCCATTACTACTGGTCAGTTTCCACTTGTGGTGCCTGTTTCCCCCTGCGTCCCCCCAGCTCCCAGCCCAGCACCTGGTGTGGTGCAGGTGATCTGGGATGCTTCTTGCACAGATGTGGTTGAACAGAAGTGATTTTGTGTGTGTGTGTGTGTGTGTGTGTGTGTGTGTGTGTGTGTATGTTGGGGAAGGAAAGGAACCCAGGGCCTTGCACATGCTAGGCACACACTCTATTCACTAAGTGTGAATTTTGAGCAGCCTGGGTACACTGTATAGGGCTTAGAGCTGGGGATTGAAAATAGTGGTCAGACGGTGAAAATGGGCTCATCTATTCATCCTGCCATTAATAGACACCTAATTTCACACAAGTTACTTAATAATGCTTTGGTTTTCTCAACTGTAAAGTGGGAGTGACAGTGTCTCCTCTATAGGGCTTCTGTGAAGATTATATGACATAACCAGTAGGGAACTCAGCACAGTGCCTGGGGCATACTAACAGGCCCTACAACTGGCTTTACCATCACCACCACCGCCATCTTTAACCTCACCAAGCTCAAGGTGTAGTAAGGCAAAGAGGGAAAAGCTCATGGCCTTAGGGTCCCTCCAACTGAGGTCTGATCTTTGCTCAGTCACTTATTGCCTTTTTGACTTTGGCAAGTGACTTCACCTCAGTTATCTCATCTATAAAATGCGTGATAACAATCTTGAGGTTGCAGGGATTCTCAAGGATCAGGAATGCTAATGTGTCTGTGTATAATAAACAATACCTCTTATTGTCCATCATGTATTGATGTGAGATGGTATTTCCGGGTAGGACTGAGTCCCACAGGGGTAAGAAAAGGAGGAGGCAGACAGAGCACATGTGCCTGTCCAGGAACAGGGAGGAGCTTGCAGTGACAGAATCTCAAAGTCAAGTGCTTGAGTGAAGCCTCTGTTTGTATATCTCTAAGTGATGGGAGGCCCAGCACCTCAGCAAACAAGCTTTGAGCCCCTCAGGCTACAGTGTTGGAATTTTTTCTTTACATTGAAGGCATTTTTCTTTACATTGAACCCAACAGAATGTCACAGCTTCAGATGGTCCAAAGAAGTGGGATGACTGCTCAGGGCAGAGGAGGGACTCGTTGGTTTCCCATCCAGTCCCTTATTAAGTCTGTGTTCCAGACAGAGGAGGCTCTCAGAGGGGACACCTGAGATGGAGGAAAGTGTGTGTGGCGGGTCTGGGGTTCACTTTCACAGGCAACCTCTCCTTATCCCTTTGTTAGCCCAGGGGATTGAGTTTGGGGCTGGTTGTGTTCCGACAAAGCTTTCAGGAATGGGACCTCATGGAGAAAGCTCCATCACTTACAAACTCATTGATCTTGCACAGGTTGCTGAAGGTTTCTGTGCCTGGGTCCCCTGCCTGTAGCATGTGGGGGCGCCTACTGCTCAGTGGTCTGGGAGGAAGAAGGGGGCACTTGGACTGTGCCTCACAGGGTGTTTGGCTCAAAGTGAACAGCCAGCAGGCATCCGCTCCCCAGGAGTGCTTACAGCCATTGAGGGACATCTCGTAGCCAGCTGTGTGCAGGGCCTCCCGGCTGCTGGTGGAGCTCCGGGGAGGGGTCCAGGGATCCGCGTAGGAGCTCGACCGGGCCTTCATCTCCTCCTTAAGAATCAGACGGCCAATCCCACTCTGGAGCTGGGGTGGGGAGGAGCAGGATGAAATTAGAAGGAAGCAGATGACCCTGGGAAGGGCTGACTCACTGGGACCTTTTTGGGGGAACCTCTGTCATTTTTGCCTTCCCAGCATTCCTCCCTCCTTATAGTACCCACATTTCCTTTGGACTTCATCTCTCTTCTACAAATAGTCCTGAGGCCTGGGTGAGGCTCTGGAGGTTGCATAAAAAAGCAGGTTTGGCCATGACAGGATCACATTGCCCTTGTCCCAGCAGTCGGTTCAAAGATGGGGAGATTGCCATCTTTTTTTTTTTTTTAATTGAGGTAGAAATCATATAACTTAAAATTAACCATTCTGAAGTAAAATCATCCCTCAGTATCCACAGGGGATTGATTCCAGGTCTATTCCTACTTCATACCAAAATCCTCAGATGTTCAAGTCTCATGTAAAATGGTGTGATATTTTCATATAACCTGTGCATATCTTCCTGTAGACTTCAATCTCTAGGTTACCTTTCTAGAGGTTCACCCACATTGTTGCATGTGTCGATACTTCATTCTTTCTAACAGCTGAGTAATATTCCATGTGTATGGATCTGCCACTGTTAGGGTCTGTAAACAAGTCTGGATGGCGCCTGGCATTTTGCCAGAGGGAGTGGTTTGTGAAGTAACTCCATCGAGCCATTAAGTGTGGAGATTCCTTATTGGTTGACTGATGTATCGAGTTTATGTTAATTAAGATAAGCTGTGTGGAATGTATATATACCCCTCCTGTCCTACAATAAAGGGCTCCCACTCCTGCTGTATCAATCTACGCAAGTTGTTCATCACCCCCGGGTTATTTTGCTGCACCACACTGCGGCATGCCACATTTTGTTTATCCATTTGTGAGTTAGACCTTGAGGTTGTTTCCATCTTTCAGCTATTTTGAATAGAACTGGCATGAACACATACGTACATACATTTGTTTTAGTCCTTATTTTCAATTCTTATGGGTATTTACCAGAAGTATAATTGCTGGACCCTGTGATAATTTTATGTTTAGCTTTTTGGGGAACCATCAAACTTTTCCACAGTGGCTGGACCATCTTATGTTCCCACCAGCCAGCTGGGAGAGCCGTTGGTACCCATTTGCCACTATAGGAAAAGGACCAGTTTGAACATGAAACAAATATAGAGGGAGCCCCCCAGGCAAAGAGAGAGACAGCTTCCCTGTGTCATTTTTTTTTGAACAGCTGGATCTGGTCATATCTGAAGCTAATCCTACCATTTGATTTGTCAGCTATGCAAAATTAGGCATTTCTTTTTTCTATTGTAAGTGAGTTTGAATATTATTTCCATTCTTGCAAATGAAAAAAAAAATCCTCAGTAATATACCTTCTAAGCTTCTTATTTCAGTGTTGCAGCCTGCTCACCTTGTGCATGCTGCGGTCAAAATCATCTTCCTCTCCTCCAGATGAGAACCTCCTGGCTCGGGGCACTGTCAAGATACAGACGGGATCAGCTCCATCCTGTGCTCCCCACTCAGCCTGCCCTGGCTTAAGCCATTGGGCCCTTCCTCCCTCCCTCTTTCCCTCCCTTCCTGGGATGAAATAGGCTCATCTAAGATACCTCCTGGGTGTGGTCTCTCTTGTCATTGCATCCTCTGAACACCTAATCTCTCATAGGTGCTTGTTCCTGTCCACCTTGGATTATACTATTTCTGTGCCTTGCCTCCTTTTCTATATGGACAATTCTCTGAGGGTAATGAAAGACTCACTTCTGAGCATCCATGAAGCTTGCACAGAATGGGCATTTAATTAGTAAAGCCAGGTATTGAATCTAAGCGACATGGATCAGTACTTGAAGACAATTTCTCCCCATACTTGAAAGGAATAACTTGGGCTCTCTGATTGGGTGAGGAAGTGACTCAAGGACCAGGGTGCCCATGAGAGCCTTTTATCTTTCTATATCTTTTCTTTTTCCATTCCCCACCATTTTTCACCCTACAGCCAAAGTGATCTCTCAAAACATGACTGTGATCATGTCATTGTTTTGAATAGCTTTAACTAGCTTCTAACTAGGATGATAACCCACATCCTTTTCTCAACTCACAAGACCTGTGGAACATCTTCCCTCATTCCCCACTTGTTCTGGTCCCTTTCCAAGATTAAGGTTAAGTGGGTAGCCTTTCCTTTCCTCCAGTAGAACTGGTCCTCCCCTCTCAGGTGTGGGCAGATGTCAGACAATCTACACTCCCTGCTGACCTGCCCCCTGGTCACCCTTCCTGTGGAAACCTCTGCATCTGGCTGCACAGCTCGCCCCTACCATCAGCTCTCCTACCTCATGTTTGGGATTTATGTCTCCTCCACAAGGGCAGGAACCTGGTCTGTTTTGCTCCCCAGTGTATCCCTAGGGCCTGTGGCTGGACCTTCATTCTTATTCGGGATGGTGGTGTGAAGAAGTGGGTGATTGTTCTGACCTCCTAAGTCCCTAGCACAGGCAATGGGCTCTGGCTTCAGGGTCCCATGGGGGTGCTACCTTTGGGGGACCCATGGTAGGTCCAGTACTCAGACTCTGCAGCATAGTAGGGGTCTGGCGAGTAGGCTGGGCTGTACTTGGAAGCCTGGCTGATGTCTTCACTTGTTTTGCTCTTGGTTGCTGTAGACAAATCACCTGCAAACGACCCAAGAGGAGCTGAAGTCAGTGTCCTGGCTGGGAATCTGTACCTTTTCCCTATCTCTGCCAGGCATTAGCACATGTGATTGAGGCTACTTTGAAGTCAGAGATAGTAGGGTCTGGGACATGGAGCATTGGAGATAGAAAAGCTCTGGTCCAACCTCTCCTTTTATGTTTGGGAATCTAAAGACCTGAGAGGGAAGGGGCTTGCTTAAGACCACACAGAAAGTTTGAACCAGATCTGGGCCAGACCCCAACCTAGGGCTCCTTCCAGCACAATTTGTGAACTCCCAGGTCTGCTCTTTAGTGAAGAGTAAAACTCAACAGGCTCCAGAGGAGTCCAGCCATTTCCTTTCTGGCCCCTCAGGAGTCTGCTTTGTTTTGATGTGAACTATATCTAGACAGGAATCACAGGCAGGCCTGTGGTATTTGTAGTGTGGGCAGCCTTCTACTGTCATCCTGTTCTTTTTTTTTTTTTTTTTTTTTTTGGTACCAAGGATTGAACTCAGGGGCTCTCAACCCTAAGCCACATCCCCAACCCTATTTTCTGTTTTATTTAGAGACAGGGTCTCACTGAGTTGCTTAGTGCCTCACCATTGCTGAAACTGGCTTTGAACTTGCGATCCTCCTGTCTCAGCCTCTTGAGTCCCTGGGATTACAGGCATGCACCACGGCACCCTGCCTATCATCCTGTTTAAGGAGGCTACAGGGCCCAAAGGATGGAGCACAAGACAGCGGCTCAGCAAAGCTGGGTTCTGGTCCTAACTCTTGCCACTTAGTTCAGGTACAAAATGGCATTGGGAAAATCCTACTCATCTCTGCCTCAGTTTCCTCATCTTTAATTGTTGAAATTGGTGCATTGACCCAGAAGCTCCAAGTGAACCTCCAATAGGAGTGACCCAAAAAACCCACTGTGGCATGAATGCTTACATGGCAGTGACTTTATGGTGGCCCAAAGACTGATGATTTGTTGACAAGGCAGAGAGAAAGAGGGATTGGGGAAACTAGTGTGGTTCCACAAGCATTTCTCAGGGAGACTGATAGGGAAGCATTTGGGACAAGCTCTGTGTTCTGTRGAGCCAGAGCAGCAGAGGTCCTGGGACAGGCTGACTTCCAGCAAGCTCATCTTGTGCACCTTTCTCCAGGAGTGCATGCTAAGAAGCTGTGGAATTATCCTTTGATTTGAGTCCTGGGAAGTCCCTCCTGGCAAACACATTTTGTTATTTCACCACCCTGTCCCTATGCAGCCACCTCTACCCTGGAGTCCTCCTAGGTCTGTGCCTCTGTTACCGCTCAGAGCCAACCTGGAAAATCCTACCAAGTCTGAGAAGCTTGGGACCTGTAGGCTTTTTTGCATATAAAGTCAAGTCACCTTTGTTGGGGCTGGTGCCTTCCTGTGGTCGCTTGGGGGCACACAGCATGTCCTTCACAGTCGCATGTACACATGTACATGCTTCCAGAATCGCTATGGGGGTGCTATGGCCCCCACTGAAAGTGAGGATGTTTGTCGAAATTGCAAGGTCTTTAGCACCCAGAGCCACTATTTATATTTGTTCTGACCCCTTCACCAGCTGGTTAGTTCAGACTCTGGTACAGGACTGCTCCACATACCTTCAAGCTTGTCCAAGTCTGTGCTCCCTCTGTTACAGGCTAGACCCACAGCAGGAAAGGGTACCTAGGGTGGCAGCTGCTCTTCCGTGTTGGCAAAGGGAGGGATATGCTTATTCAGCTGAGGTCAATAAAGGCTTTTGCAAAATGAACAGGAGGTTTCTATGGTGAATGACTTGGTGGTTCTCATACCAAGCATAGGCAGGAATCATGGATGAACCCAATTTAATGCATTTCTTGGGCATCCTTAGTATTTCTAATTAGGGAATCTGTCATAGAAAGGGGCTAGGGAATCTGCCCTTGTTTAATAAACCTCAAAGGAGCAAATGGTCCATAGGCCATTCTTTAATAAACACTGAAGGAATAAATGAATGAAAGAAGGAAAGGATTCCCTGCTCTTTTCTCATTATGTGCCCTCCTAGGGTCTTCATCCAATCTCAGGATGACTGAGACATCTTAGAACAGTTGTTCCCAAGCTGGACTAAGCATCAGAATCACCAAATAAATTGCTACAAATACAAAATTTCAATTCAGTAAGTCTAGGGAGGTGTTGAAGAATCTGTATGAATCTCATGTGACTCTAGTAAACATTTTTACTATCGATGCCTTGGAGTATAACTCTTCCAGGGGCACATGCATTTTATAAGAATTACCCTGATCATGGGACTTAAAACACCAGACAGCAGGTAAAGGGGGTTGGAGAGGTGGTGGGAAAGGATTTAGGGGACATGAGGCCTTCCTTTCTCTTTTGAATGACACAAAACTCCTTTACAATGTCACCCTGAGTGATTTGGGGTTAGCAAAAGAAGGACCAAGCTGTGTCCTTGCATCCTGTTGCTCCTGGTGGCCCGTGCAGAGCAACTGCACAGAGGGTTAACTTCCTCCCTCTCCTTGTCTGGCCAAGCCCTGTCTGCCTCTGACCATACCATGCCGTTTGTAGATCGGGGGTTTCCGGTAGATGTTACTTTCTCCAGCTGCCAGACAGACCAGGAAGGGATGGGGGAGGAGAGAGAAAGAGACAGGGGAGGAGACAGCACTTGGTCAGTTGATCTCAGAAGACAGAGACTGTCAGCAACCTTTTCCAAGGGGCCACCATCTTTCCCCAGTAGACTTCCTCTTCCACAGTTGAACTTTCAACCTCACCCCAACAGGTACCAAGTAAGGTGGGGGGAGAGAGATGGATGGATACAAATGGTGCCAAAGAAGGGACGTGGGTGGGGCTGAATGGTGGGCATGCAGGGCGGAGTGCGTGCTCAGCAGATCCTCATGCAGGGAGCGTCCACTGCTCCTCCCAGTGGTCACCCCTCATTCCATGTGAAAGTCTCTAGGATGCGTCAGCCAAATTTCAGCATTATCTTTCTGCCCTTCCTTAAAACCAGACAGGATGGGACCGCTCTGGGGCAGTTGAGAAAGGTGTAGGTAGATAAACCGGCAAGATGAATTCTTGTGGGGAAAGTGAGTGGTAAGTGAGAAACTGAGCTGAGTTGGGATCTAGACCTGGCTCTGCTGTCCCTCGGGAGATCTTGTCCTCCAAGACCACACCCAGTGGCCTTCCTCTCACCTTATGGCCACCTTCAGGCAGAATGGCTTTATATATGCCGTTCTGGCTGCCTGGGATGCTTGCCTGGGAATCTTCATAGGGCTTCTCCTTCTCATCTTTTAGCTTTAATGTCACCTCTTCCAAGAAGCCCTTTCTGATCACCCCATCTCGCCTAGCCTCCTCTACTCCAGCCTCATGATGCCCTGGTTTCTTTTTTTTTTCTTTCTTTTTAAAAAAATGTTCATAGCATCTATCATCACCTGAAATCATCCTTTTACTTATTTATTTATTCTTTTATGGTCTCTGTCCCCACATTAGAATATGCATTCCGTGAAGGGAGGGTCAAGGCTGGGGGCCGGAAGCACAATTGCAACCTCAGGGTCCAAACAGTGCCTTGCTACACAGGCAGAACAGCAGAGGTACAGGGAAGCTAAGTCACTGGCCCTGGGTCACCAGCTTACAAGCAGCAGGATTGGGATTCAGTCCCAAGAGCTTGGATGGAAGCAGCCTTTACCGCTATGTTACTGCTGCGCCCCCTCAGGCTCCCGAAAACACAGGCATTTCACACTAGCTCCCTGAGACTTTTCTTCCCTGGGATGCTCACTTGTGGTCCTGATCAAGGTTGGTTTTGTCAAGTAGGAGGCAAACTCATGGGCATACTGGGACTGGAGGGTGGGTTAGCATGGGTGACTGGTTAGGGAGGGTCCCCCAGGAACTGGCTTCTCCTCCATGCCTGAATAGCATTGAGTGGACAGCTCAGGTGCCCCATGACCCCACAGAGCATGCACCCATGCTGGGAATGCCAGGCTGGCAGTGCCTACCTGGGATGTGAAAGTGCTTGGGAGCCTGGTAAGAGGTCGGAGTGGAGGACCTCACATCTAACTGGCTATGGTATGGAGAGCTCCGGCCACTCTCGGGCCCTGGAGCACGCAGGCAGTGGTCCCCAGAGAGAACAGAGGCACAGAGAAAACAGGCATTAGCGCAGTGGCAGTTTAGGAAGCGGTGAGGTGATGGCAGCAGGAATGGGGTGGCCTGGGCGACCCGGCGTGCTCAGCTCCGGAGTGGAAGAAGCATGAGCTCTCATGCACCGCATCTGCAGGAACGAGCTCGACCTGTTTCCTTGCTTGACCCCAAAGTCAGGTTTTGTGGGTTGTAAGAATCAACTCTACTGAGCTTCAGTAAGGTGTCTTCTTTGCTTAGCACCCCCAACCCGTCCTCCCTGGGCCCCTCCCTTAACTGTCCCTTTCTTCTATCCAGCTGTACCCCTAGCCCTGTGTTGACAGTGGACACCCTGACTGGCTGGGGGCTGGGTGGGACTGGGCCCTTGATGAGCCCTATTTCTAGTCTGGATCTGCCCCATGGAGTAATGGGGCAGGCCAAATGGTGAGGTTGAAGGAGGCCTGTTCCATCCAGCAAGGGCCCTGGGCTTCCTGTCACTCCCTAGTCCTGGCAGCTCCTCACCCACCTCCTGCTGCTTCTCAGTGTCACATACCCCATCTTTCTCCTTGCCAGGAGCAGCTCAGGAACTCAGGCCTCGCTGGCCATCTGAGTGTCCAGAGGCTTCCAGGGGGTGTGCTATCAGGGAAATCTTGGGGAAGCCTGAGCTGTCTCTGAAGCCTTGCTCTTCCTCTCTCTTTGGGGACGCCCCACCATCTTACCTGAGCGGTAGTAGTGGTGAGGCGAGCGGGAGAAGGTGGGAGACATGCCCTGCCGGCTGTAAGTCGGGGAGTCGATGTATCCCGGGCTGGAGGCCCGTCTCTGCCGGAGGTCCAGGTTCTCATAGATGTCCTGGGGAAGGAGATGGTTTGTGAGCAAGGCTTGTGGTCCAAGAGTCCAGCAGGCAGGTGAGACATGCCACAGACTCTGGGATTCTTGTGGTTCAGTCACAAATAGGGAGACACCCCCATCGGAGCCACACACTCSGCCTGTGGAGGGCAGCGGAGAGTCATGCATCACTCCAAAGTCTGGACAGAAACATGGGTCAGTCCCAGGGATCACAGAGACTCGAGGGAGGTCATCTCTGGGGGCATATAAGTTCYCTCCCAACCTTTCCCATCATTATGCCCTGCCCTGGCTGGGGGAGCACCTTGGGTGAGGCATCAGGCCCCTTGGGGACCTGKCGAGAGGTGAAGTCAGGGCCCATTTTGGACAGCTTAAAGGACGCAAATACATAAAAGGTTTTCCTGACCTTTTGCATGTCAGTTTAATTACCTGGGAGTAGGGAGATAATGTTCCCAACGACTTAGAAGCGGAGAGGTTGAAGGCAGCCGTGGACGAAGGAAGGGAGAGAAAGGAGGGCAAGAGGAAGGGACAGAGTATCGTTAAATGGTTCGGCAAAGAGAGGGCCTGCCGCTGCCCCTTGGCACCACTCTCTAGGTGGTGCCTCTAAGAGGTAAGGAAACCTTGTGATCATGACCACTCCTTTTAAACTTGGGAAAACAAAGGCCTAGGGAGGAATGAGGGGGCTCAGGGCCACTCCTTGGGAAGGAAGAGGCTGGTTCTGACTTGGACCTAGCTCCCTCTGCTGCAGACGCAGAGCTTATCTTCATGACCCTTTCTTGTCTCCCTCCTGGCTTATGGCCCCTTTGTGTTTGTGAAGACCACGTCCAGGGARGGGGATCCAAAAGTAAGATTGAGCAAGAGCCAGGCTGCGGTCATCAGTGAGAGAGCTGGGCGGGTGGGTGGATTGATCAGGGAAGTGCCCTCAGCTCTAGCAGGTCAGGGTCATGCTGGATGCCTGCCCAATGTTAACCAGCTTCTTAATTTCCAAGAAAACTCAGAAATGCAGTTTCTTATGTGAAATCTCCCAACATTTACATGTTGACAACTAATTTACATTTTTGAAAGATACTCTATGAGTGACTCAAAACATCTGGGGGCTGGCTGTAGCCCATGGGCTCTGGTTGGCCTTGTCTAACTTCAGGAGAATCAACTTATACAAACACTGGATTCCTTTTTCCTGGTCCATTTCAGGGTCCAGAACACAGAAGAACCTCAGCATTAGGATCTTTAACCAAATGAAACCCAATCTCTTTTTGAGAGGTGGATTGCCTGAGGACATTAGCTAGTTGGTGGTGGAGCTGGGTCAGGAATTTGGGAACCTGTCCATCAGGCCAGYGCTCCTTCTGCCCATTGTAGTTCAGGAGGCCTGGGATGGGGTCAGAAATCTCCTGGGATATAGATGGTCAGCGCCTTCTATGTGATGATCACCCTGCCTTYCCCAGAGAACTTTTTCTCATCTAGCAACCATGTAATGATTTCTAAAGCCATCCGATGCTGAGTCTTATTAAGTGTTCTGTTGCTTTGAGCACAGAGAGTATATGTCAAGTGCAAAAACAAGAGAACATACCTAACCGAAGAATATGAACTTCAGTGACCATTAAGCCTGGCCTCCCCTGGCCACTGGCAGGGGAGGAGAGTCATGGGCTGAGCAAAAGCAAAAATTTCTCCAGTATAAGAAAACAAAAGCTCAAGTGATAAGTGGTCACAAGCTCTCAGCTTCCATGTTGGGTTTTACAGGGAGGGGTGAGGACTGGGAAGAATGGGGAGTCCATGTCCTGTCCATAGGGGGCGCTGCTACCCATCTCCAGATGGTGAAAATCCTAAATTTAATGTCTGAYTTCCCAAGAATAATCAGAAAGCCAKATTTGTGGGTGAAATCTCTTGATTTTTAAATGTGAGCTATAAATTCCAGTTTTGAAGAGTCTACACTGGAGATCAACTTGTCTTTGATGAAATGGGATCGTGGTTCCTCCAACAGCCCCAGAGAGAAGGGCTGTAATGCAATACCTCTCCATAGCCACATCTCTCCAGCATCTCGTCAGACGTGTATCTGGAATGAGGCTCGTAGGAAATGAGGTCGGGGCGTTGTACCTCGTAGATGGACTTAACCTTGGGGAGAGCTGCCAGGTCTTTGTAATTAAGGATCTCATTATCCACTTTAGCCTGGGGAAGAGGGAAATGAACAGGAAAGGAGTAGAAAGATAAGAGGGAAAAGTGAAAGAAAAGAGGAACAAAAACGAGGTAAAGGAAGGACAGGTTCCACTAGTTTTCACTAAAAGCCAAATATTAGGATCTAATCAAAGAGCTGAAATATGCTGGAATAAGAAAGGTCTTAGARGCCATCCATTCCAACAGGGCTAACATTTATTGAGCACATATTGTTTGAGAGGCCCTGTGCTTTACARGGATTATTTCCTCTAAATGTTATAAACCTCTGTGGAGCAAGTGTCAAAGTTGTTCCTATTTTCTGGGCTAGAAAAATTCCACAAATTACACCAATTAGCTAGTAGCTTTGAATTTAGTCTGATACACAACCTGGGTGACTTGCCTTCTAACCCCACGCTGTGTGGACATCCCCATTCCCAGKCTCCACAGGAAGGAAGATGGTAAACACTAAAATAATCATGACATTRAAACACTGGCTAGCAATTGGCAAGCACTTATTATGAGCCAGGCTCTAAGTTTCTTATTCAGATTAACTCAGTTAATTCATACAACTCACAACAGTAGACTTATGTTATCCTCTTTTTGAATAAGGAAACAGAGGTGCAGAGAAATCAATGAACTTGCCAACTCCACAAAATGCAAAATCCAGCATTTGAACCCAGGTCATCTCACCTGAGAGCCTGCCATTCCATGTGACCTCCCAGGACAGGGAGTTCACTATAGAGGGCTGCACCCAGAAAGCAGCTCCTTACAGTGAACTTGTACTTAACTTTTCCAGAGTTCAGAACTCTATAGGGCCACATGGATTGGAAGACAMTGTCTGCTTGCATGTGACAACCCATTTCTCATGGCTCCTGAAACCATGTCCTGAACCAGTCTATGTAGCTGTTTCCTCTTATGACCTGGTTTCTGCTCTGRTCAACTAGGATCTGTCTTTCTGGTAACTACTATGGTTTGGAATGTGCTGGGGTGAGGTAAATTAAGAGGGGGCTACTAGATAGAGAATCTAATATCCATGTAATGTTCTGCCTAATACTTGGAGGTGCCAGACGAGCCAGACAGAGTCTCAGGACTATGACTACTCTAGAGAGTAGCAGCTTTCTAATTATCTTACAACTTTGCTATTTTAAAAGCTTCTCAAGGCTCTTTCTCTGTTTATTTTATCCTTGGCCCATCCTACCATTATCTGGGCACCATGTTCCTCACATTGTCCCTAAACTCTGTAGCCACTCTTCTTGCCTGTGTGTCCTGAGCYCATCTGCACCACAGCCTCTCCTGCTCAGGAGGTTTGGCAATGGGAGGAACCGGCAGCCTGGATCGTGAGTGGATGGAGAGTCTGGCCTACGAATTCCCCTTGCAACTTTCCTGCCGGGATGTGGGTTGAGCATGACTTCTGTCTGGTGGCTCTTCTTCACAGCTCTACCTCCTGCCAACTCTGCTAATGCTGTTCCTTTCCCTCGTGTCCTTGTTCCTGGGGTGGCAACAATATCCCACTGTTGCTGTCCTKGGATGCTTCCCTATTTCTTGTGGGTCCTTTTATCCAATTCCAWGAAACTCTGCTCAGCTGAATTCTTCTGAGTTGTGCCATCTGATTTTTGCTAGAGATGGTGCAGACACCCACATGTCCATCAATTTTTGGGGGTGTGGGCAAGGGGAAGCTGCTTAGAGGARTCTATTTGCTGAAGATGCCTTTGGTCCTGGGATATTAAGTCCTGACCTTGAGAACTCTTGTCATTTAACAAACTCATCTTGATGAATAGTCATTTTGGCACTTTACTCCAAACCTCAAAATTACTAAATTTATATTTCTTTCTATAGTTGCTTTATTTACAGTGCTATAAATGAACCTTAGGTCTGGAGGCACAGTGATTGATTAGAGGCATCCTAACATAATTAGCCAGGAAGGAAGAGAATATGTGGGGCTGGCTGAAATCAAGCTACCCCAGGATGGTTCTAGAAGCCAGTGGGGAGTGGAACAAAGTTTGAAAGAACTTGCCCATTCCAGGTTCACTGGTAATTCTATTTTAATATCAAAATATCAATTATCTCTGAAAGTTAAACCAACAGACCATCTTTCTRTGTGTTACTGCACATCCCTAATGTKAGCCRATAGATGCTTTGCCATGTTTAGAAAGGTCTGAGTTCAACATGGCTGATATGAAATGCACATGACAGAGCGTCTGGATGTGAGGCACCACACGAGGCGAAAGGAGCACACAGAAGGTACGACTCGGATGTGAGGGGCAACTGATCTCAGCAATAAGCCTCCAGCTGGAAGGCAGGAGAGCAGGGTCCTAGTTGTCATTGATCATAAGGAAGCTGCTTATTATGGGGGCGATTCTAGCAGGCTTTCTCCAGAAAACCAAGGTGAACATCAGGGATCAACTTATTTCACCAGGGTTAATGAGACTCCTGGGTAACAGTTGGTGAGTAATGGCGTTCTAGTGCTGCAGATTCCTGAACCCTCACTTCCTGGARACATGCTCACACTTGTTAATGACCCCATAGGGAAGGACCCAAAACTGAGSCCACTGATTCTGCTATTGTCTGGTCCTGTTCATAGCACAGAAAATAGTCTGGGGATTATCTTGTTTCTTGTGCTGGACAAGAATCTTTAATGAGTATAGTCTGTGATCAAAGTAGCTTGTCTTGGATTGGGGGTGCAGCTCAGTGACAGAGCACTTTCCTAGCATGTGTGAGGCTCTAGGTTTGATCCCCAACACCACAAAAAAAGAGAGTGGCTTGTCTTCTGTGTCAGCCACATGGTGGTATTGACTCATATTGACACTGAAGTCAATGACTCCTGTCTCTTTCTTCTTCTTCTTTTTTTTTCATTTGACCACAGGAAGAAAGGAAAGGAAATAGTTTCATCAATGGGCATTATTCTGGGATGGGAGAGGAAATTGGATATGGATTTAGAGTAATGACCTCATCATGGTGTCAGGACTCATCCCAAACTAGTGGATTGGGGGGCTGCATCTAGAGCTTCTCCCTGGGAGTGGRTCCCCTGCCCTTGACTACCCCCACTCCCCACATTCCTTCTGGCTCCTTTGACTTGTGGAAGACTGGTACAATGCAAGAGTTAACCAGAATGTTGTCTGCTGCTCATTTCAGTTCTCCTGGGCTCTGCCACRCTCACCTCCTTGGTCTGACTTCTGGTTTGAACTTAAAACATTTGAGCTTAAACAGTTTTCCTTCAGGAAGCCTTTTCCCAGCTGGTCCTGGACCTTCAGGTTCCTCTACTCATCTGGAGCATCAAGGGAACCTTGTGCTTTCTCTTCCTGTCACTTATCATAACTGCAACTGATGAGTCCTGGCATTCTGTGTCTAATGTTATGAGGATAGGCATCAGGTGTGTGTTGTTCACCAGTTTCTCCAGCATGGAGCTCAGTGCTTATTAACAGAGTAGATGCTCAGCACATGTTTGTTGAATAAATGAATAAATTACATATACTAGGGACCTCTGAGGTCATCTAACTCTGTTCCTTCTGCCACATCCCTGGCAGATGAGTTTGCCTGTGCTTGAATGACTCTGGAGATGGCAGCTCAGATACCTGCAGGTGATCCTCTTCATCCCTGGACTTCTCACACGATTAGAAAGCTGTTCTGCATTTCCAAATCTTGGATAGCGGTTTCCACATCATATGACTTCCTTCCCATTCCTTCCTCATTAGCACATGCTCCTCCCTTCACATCCACATTCCACTTGAGCCCCACTCTGAATGCSTCTCTGGTCCCATACTGACTTGCCYTTGTCTTGCTTAAGGAAAGGGTTAGGAGGGACAGTGCACTGGCTTCAGAACTCTACAAAGGCTCACTATCACTGCACTTGGTTTCTTGTGCTCCGTGGTGCTCTGTGCTATCTCTGTGACTCTTGGTTTACCAGACTGTGTGCTTGAGGGCATGGTCCATGTCCTCTCTGGACTCACTGCATCCTCAGGGTCTGGCATGGAACAGGCACACACCAAATATCAGTTGGCTGAAAAYCTGAGGGTTCCTTCATCCTTAGAAACTTTAGCTGCCAGGCCAGGGGTAGGAAAGGCCCCTAAGGGGCTGAAAAGTAATACATACGCAGATGACTCGGTTGGGTGACCCAATACTGGATCCAGGGGGTGAGATGGAGGTTTCAGATGTCCGTCTATGCTGTGGGAGAGAGGAAAGCAGAACAGGTGAGAAGCTGCACCCTGGGTTTGATGGCAAGGGGAGACTGGGCACATTAGCRGCAATAAGTATTTTTTGGATACTTTTGTACTTTTTAAATTTTCTGCCTTTTAAATCAATGTCTGAGTATGACTGAGATCTAACATGCATAGGATTTCAGGCTGTTGGATAGAATAAAAATTTATTTTCTATATATTTGTAGCTAGCATATTTTTTATTTTATTTTTTTGATAGACCTTTATTTTATTTGCTTATTTGTATGTGGTGCTSGGAAATGAACCTGGTGCCTCACACATACAAGACAAGTGCCCTACTGCTGAGCTACAACTCCAGCCCTGTAGCTAGCATTTTAAACAGCACATTACTCATAAGACTTTTCATGGGCTGGGGATGTGGCTCAAGCGGTAGCGCGCTCGCCTGGAATGCGTGCGGCCCGGGTTCGATCCTCAGCACCACATACCAACAAAGATGTTGTGTCAGCCGAGAACTAATAAATATTAAAAAAAAAAAATTAAAAAAAAAAGACTTTTCATTTTGGGTTATCCCAGTCAAAAAATGTCTTTACTTTAAGTAAAATTGCGTAGTATTCATTCCTCAGTAGTTTGTTTATTCATATCATGTAATTGCACAATATGCGGATTCTTTGTCATGTACCCTCTGCAAATTGATATCAACTTAAGTGAAAAAGTTAAAAAAAATCTGTCTCTGAACAATGCAATGGTGGATTAATAGCTCCCTCAGCAGAACAGCATGATGTCAATCTTAGTGCTTCCACAAGAGTGGCAGCGTGCTGTGGTGGCAAAGTCAATGGCTTGAGAATCAAGGACCACTGGTGAAGCATGTGTTTTAGAGATCTTGGATTCCTGATGTGTAAAATGAAGGGGCTGAGCTTCAAGATTGCTCAGTTCCCTCCCAGACCTCTCATCCTGCAATTTAAAGCATTCTGAGTGGGGCTACGGAGCAGTGTTTTCCAAAATATGGATTGTGAACAAGGGGTGGTTCTGGAAGATGAGTGTAGGTGGAACGTTTGATAACACTGAGTCACAGAGTGAGTGTAATGTAATGTTTTATTTCAATCCTCCTGATTTGATCAAAGAGGAATCTCAATTTGGTGCTAATACATATTAACAACTGTCTCAACGATGGCTAATTTCCCTTTATTTTCTTCCTGACCAAAGAGAGTACAGGAAACATTAACTAGAAGTTTTAAGATTTAATCTCAAGAATTATTTTATTTTATGACTGCTTTTTATTTATAGCAAGTATATTAATTTCCACTTGGCAATATAAAGTTTATTTTAAAATAATTTTAGTTAAGTAAAAAGTAATGAGTTGATTTCAAGAAAAATATTAAGCTTATAAGGGTACAAAGAGGTAGTGCATATATACAGCAGAAAGCTGCAGGTTTTTTTTTTTTTTTTTTTTTTGGTACCAGGGACACTTAACCATTGAACAACATCCCCAGTCCTTTTTATGTTTTGCTTTGAGACAGGGTCTCACTAAGTTGCTTAGGGCCTTGCTAAATTCTGAGGCTGGCTTTGAACTCATGATCTTCCTACCTCAACCTCCTGAGCCACTGGGATTACAGGCATATGCCACGGTGCCCAGCAAGCCTCAGGGTTTTAAAGAATGACTCAAGGGGTAGGGTTGTGGCTCAGCAGTACAGCGCTCTCCTAGCATGTGTGAGGCAGTGGGTTTGATTTACATAAAGGTATTTTTTTTTTAAAGACTTAGGGGCTGTAGCTCAGTGGCAGAGTGCTTGCCTAGCACATGCAAGGCACTGAGTTCAATCCTTAGCACCGCATAAAAATAAACAAATAAAATAAAGGCATTCTGTCCATCTACAACTACAAAAAAAGAAATCACTCAAATTTGGGAAATGCCCTCAAAGAGGGAGAGATTAAGGAAAAAAAGAACAATTATATCTTCTAACACCTTAAATAAAAGAGATCTTGGAAGAAACTGGAAAAAAAAATTCATGTATGGCTCAAAAGAAATCACACATCAATAAAGCCAGTTCTTCCACAAAATATATAGTAAGTGGATGAAATGGCAAAGGAGACACGTGTAATTAGCTGGGCAGAATTGCACAGGTGTGTTTTTAGTTAAGGAGACTCTAGCAGGTAATATGATAGTCAGGTGTCATGGTATAAAGGCACACTGGAGGGCAAGTGTGCTCCCTATCCCCTACACACACCCCAGGTATCCCCTCCACAGCTTCAAGAACCCAGGAGCCTGGGAGTCCATCTCTCGCTGCAGCCTGGGTAGCTCCACCCTCTCCCTATATTATCAGGAACCAGATTCACAGGTTAAAGGTCTCTGTATAGGACTGCTGTTCTCGCATCATGACTAATGTGCTTACCTTTAACTTCTTCTCTGCCCGGGCTGCCTGCTTGCAGATGGGGTGCCAAACCTCAGAACCTAAGGGGCCAAGAAAATAGCAAAGGCTCAGACTTTCCAAACCCACCATTTTCTGAATCAGTCCCCACCCCCACTTGACTTACTCTTCCAGCAGCACATGCGCCCTGCACATCACTGGGAGGACCCCCTCTGCTCTCTTAGCTCCCTCCTGGCACCTCGCCATTGTACGACAACTTGACTGCCCACATGTGTTTTCTGTGTATCCAAATTCTAACCATTCCTCAAGGTTCAGGTCTTGCATGACATCCTCTTGCAAACTTTCTTACCTGCTAGCTGGGGGTGACTTCTCTCTCCTTGTTGTTCCATAGTTCTTTGAATCTCTCTTCACACCAAGAGCCTTAAGTCACAGTAGCTTGAAATTTCCCAACCCAACTAATTAAGATCTCCTTCTGGGGAAGACCTGAGCTTTATTCATTGCTACATCTCCCACAGCACTCAGCACAGGACTTGGTTCTTAGCGGAGGTCCATACACGTTGGTGGGGTGAATAGATGAGTGGATGATTGGCAATGAGTGACACAGAGCAGGTGGTCAATAAATATTTGTCRAATGAATGAATGGCAGTGGGGGATGAAAGAAAATGACAGACTGCGGTGAACTCCAGCCTTCCTTCTCTTCAAAGACTTAGGACAGACTTAAAACTTATCAGAGCTATCACATTTAAGGGGAGGAGGTGTCATGGTTTTTTCTGCTTAAGAGCATTGTCTTGACCAGCTAATTCCTCAGAGGCAGCAGACTCTTCAAATCCAGTATATTTGTGTTGTGTAAAACCACATTTTATCGTGGGTGGGGGTCCAGTTGGCCACCCCCAAACTCGAGAAGCCAATTTGGAAAGGCATGAACAACAGGTGGCTGGTCACATGTTGAGATGAAGCCCCAAATATTACACATGCCCCAGAGAAGGGACAGGTGTCCTGGATTAGAAGGAAAAATAGGAACATATTATCCCTCTGGAGCCATTCCTCTTGTAACCAGCCCTAAAAGGAAAGGAACCAGCAAATGGCTGGATTCCTGAGCACCCAGATGGCATGTGTTTGTCTGACTTTGTTTCTAGGATATTCTTTCCATTATGGTTTGTTGCCTGGAGCCCCTGGGACCAGAATACTGGCTAGGGAGAGGAGGGTGCTGTAAGATCATAAAATTAGATCCCCCCCTAAAAAAGAGAGAGGATGGGCTGGAAGCATGGAGCCCTGGGTTCCTATCTCTGCTCATCCACTAACACATCCTTTCTCTGGGTCCTAGTTTCTTCATCTGAATAACAATGAGGTGGGACTTAGAAGAACTTGGAGCTTATTTTCATCTTCTAGGACCAGTTTTGTCTTTTGCGCAGAAGGAATTTTCCGTTCTTGTGTGCTGCTACTCTTTGGGGCTCTTAATTGCTCAGTAGGAGTTCAATCCTTCTACAGTGAATGCAGTGCTCTCAGAGCCCAGTAGAGGGACTCTGGTTCAGGGGCTGGAGCCAGCAATCACAGGGTGTGTCCACTAACAAGCTGTTGGCTGGGATCTTGGGAGTTACTGGAGAGAGCATTTCTGGTTCCTCTTTGAGTTGCTCCTGGGTCTATCAGGAGTTGTTTACAACTGTGGCTCTGGCAGGAAACAYATGTTATAGGTCACTGTAGGAAATGGACTAGGTGGACACAAAGGTCTGAAGGGATCAATGGAGTAGGTGAAAGACGCATGGGAAGGGTGAAGGGGGCAGAAGTCCTCATGCAGGAAATGATGTGTCCAGTGGGTGGGGGAGCTCAGGCTAGGTGGTCTCTATTGCTTGTTGACTCCATGACATTGACATGTTTGATCCRAAATAAAACAGCCACAAGTGGCCATTACCACTCTGCATATGGGAAAGTGTGTTTATATAATAAATGATGTGGGAGAAGGCTAGAAAGAGAGGAAATATAATTAGAAGTGAAAAGATAAGTTTAGGAGTTGGCTGTGTTTCATGTAAATAAAAGAGGGTCAATAAATAATTTGTTAGTAGCTAGCTATAAACTGAGATATCTGAAGGAAAAAAATATTTTTYCCCCATGAAGATGACTATGAAATTATCATCTGCTGAGTCTATGCCCTTGGCCAATAGCTCAACCTCTTTGCAGTAACAGAAAGATAACAACATCCAGAGGGAAGAAGGTGGTTGTTAACTTCTTTCTGTGCCTAGTCTGTGCATGTTTAAAAAAGAAACATATGGATGACTGACGTGTCCTACCTTTGTATTTTTAAAAAGATACAAGGTGAGGAGTCACCCAAAGGAGGATGGGTGGACAGAGTAGGGAGGACACCCAAAATTAGGTCCTAAAGCAGGGTCTTCACCCTGAGAAGACTGAACAGAATGGCAAAGTGTGTCTTTGAATATTTTAATGGCTCTCTGTGGGAAGAGGCTTTCATTTGCTTTGCAAATCTTATAAAGTAGAACAAGAACTAAGGAGCAGAAGTTCCAGGGAAGGGAAATTAACATCTGAGAATTGAACGGTCTCTTTTATCTGACAGTGAGCTTCCTGGGCCTAGAAGTGTTTAAGTACTCGGCAGTGATATTGTGGAGGAGACTCATGGCTTAGCAGTTACGCTGAGAGCTTCTGATCAACCATCCCAATCCTCGAAAATTCTGTTTCCACCTTAACAGTCTTCTCTGTATAAAGAAAATAATTATTTGCTTCTATCCAATAATCACAATGAGAACGCAAATTCTACGAGAGGTATTTACTTCCATTTTAACTGCAAAGATGGAAGATTCTCAATAAATACCTATTGAATGAATGAATAAACAAAAGAAATAGAAGATTCTATCCTAGGCCATGTGGATTCTTAAAGCTGAGCCCAAAGATTTGAACAAGTAGAACAATTTAGACTCTGATTTGACAGGTATGATTCCAGGTTGAGTTTTAAGGTATGCATTATGAACTACCTGTCTTATAATGTGGAAAAAAATGCAGATTCCCAGGCCCTACGAGCCACTGACACCAACTTCCTAGAGGAGGAGCCTGGGAATCAGTACTTCAACAGTTCCCCAAATGATCTGATGACTCTAAATACAAAAACCAGAGGGCTCAATACCAGACCACATTCCAGATTGGTTTCTTTGGGATAAAGAAACAAATTATACAAGATAGAACTCCAACATCCTGTAAGAATGCAACATTGTTTGCTTGTTGGACTCCGGGTTCCACAGTCTGTGCTGTTTTTTCCTCTGAGACTGTCATTCATAACTCCAGGCTCTGCAGGTGAAACCAACTGGAAGGTCACAGAAGTGATGTGCTGGCTATTTCTCTGTCAGCTGACTCAGAGACAGAGATCTCCGTCTCCCGAAGGGCCCCTCACCTGGCTGTTGGGCCACTCTTCACTCAAGAAGTGCCAAAGGGGTGCATCTGACTGGTCACAGGGGTGCATCTGCCTGTGACATCAGGGCTTGATKCAATGGTGGGGAACCTACTACATCTCTGCTGAACCTTGAAATTTAGTTTGTCAAAGCCTYTGTTTCAAATGCCAGAGCTGGACCTGGTGCCATCATCTTTTAGGATCCTCAGGGGGTTACAAGTACAATGGTGACTGAGAGTGGCCAGCCTGAAGGGTCTGTTTGGTCAGCACAGTGATGATTTTAAACATYTTTGAATCTGAATGTTTTTAGACACTGCAGGTTGCCGTGATCTTTCCCGTGGACCCGCCCTGTGTCCCCACCCTTTTCACTCATCTATGTGGACACTTGAGTTTTGGGCCTCTGATTATAGCCAGGGAATTCTCCCGCAGCGGGTTTCTTCTTCAGATTTCTCTTGACAACAGCAGGAGGAGATCTCTTAGGTTTCCACCTTTGTGACAGCAGCACTACCATTGGGACAAAGATTGGAGTTTGTCCTTTAAAATCCCCAATCGGACAAATAGATGTGGTATACATCCATTACCATAGAATATTATCCAGTCATAAAGGATATGACATATTGATGCATGCTATGACATAAATGAACCTAGAAAACTTTATGCTCAGGGAAGAAGTTAAATACAGTTAGATCACATACAGTATGATTCTCTCTATGTAAAATACCTTAAATAGGTACATCTAGAGACCCAAAGCAGATTGATGGCTGCCAGAAGCTAGGGGGAGCCAGGAATGGAGAGCAACTGCTTAATGGGTCCCAGGTTTATTTTGTGATGATGAAAATGTTTTGGAACTAGATAGAGGGATGGTCACACAGATGCAGTAATAACTACTGAATTATACACTTTAAATGGTTAATTTTATGTTATGTGAATATTATCTCAGTGAAAAAGAAAATCCCTATCCATGTCCCCCAGCAGATGAGGGGCTGCTGCAGACCCCAGGGGACCCTGTTTTTCCTCCGTCACTCAGGGTGCAGACTCAGCAGGAGGGAGACAAGCAGGCTCTTCTGTTCAATGTGCCATGAGACAATGTCATCATTACCATCATCTTGGCATTAGCAATCTTCTCCATGCCTCAGGCACTGTGTTCATTATTTAATGTAATGTTCTTATGAGGTTTGCGTCTTGGTTACATCACTCACTGCATTAGTAGCTGCATGTCTAAAGCAACTCAATTACCACTCTGTGCCTTGGTTTCCCTGTCTATACAGTGGGTGTGATGACACTATCTGCCTCATAGGTTTGTTTTAAGGATCAACCAGATAATTTGTGTATAACGCTTAGAACAATATCTGCCTGTAGTTGGTACTTGTGTTAGAATCTGTGSCAGGGGCTACTTGGGGCAGGGGACACGAGTCACTGAGAGGCTGGGGTGGGGAGCATTTGTTCCCATCAGGGACTGGGTGAGGTAGGGGATGCAGTGAGTGATAGGCTGGCTGTGCAGGTGAAGTTGCTGGGCAGAAGCCTGGCTTGGTTGCCAGCATGCCCTCCTGGAGGTTGGGCTTGTGCCCAGGGAGAGGGCACCTCGGGAGAAGTGGGCAAGACCCATTTGCCTGGAGTTGCCATGATGAAGGGGGCTTGAAGCTTAATAAGGAGGCAGGGAGAAAAGTGCGTAGTACTATGAAGCTTGTTCCT